GCCACGGCACTCTACCATGGGTGGAAAAAAATAAAAAAGAAAAAGAAAAACTCTGAAATTATTGGGTCACTTTCAAAGGAGAGACTGTGGTGCTTTTACTCTAGTTGCACCAATTCTTAGCTCCTTTAGGAATGGACCCACCATTTTGTAGTGTTGAGATGGGCAACAAGAAAGATAAACTCATTTAGCTATTTTTTTCCAAAGGTACCCTCCAACCTTTCCTCCAATATGGAACCAGGCACCTATATTAAAATGAATGATTCAGTCACCCAACTACCCTCCAAAGTAGCGATACAAGACATTACTATGGATCTACACTGTCCACTGTGCCATGATTGGTTCCGTGATCCACTGATGCTAAGCTGTGGCCATAACTTCTGCCAACCCTGTATCCAAAACTTTTGGAAGCGGCAAGCAAAGGAAACCTTCTGTCCTGAGTGTAAAATGCTATGTCAATATAGCAATTGTACATTCAACCTTATACTGGAGAAGCTGGTAGAGAAGATTAAGAAGCTACCCCTACTCAAGGGCCATCCCCAGTGCCCAGAGCATGGAGAGAACCTGAAACTGTTCAGTAAACCAGATGGGAAGTTAATCTGCTTTCAATGCAAGGATGCCCGGTTGTCTGTGGGACAGTCTAAGGAGTTCCTGCAAATCTCTGATGCTGTCCGCTTCTTCACGGTGGGTGAGCCTAAACAATCCCTTAGGAAAGCTAGGAAGTAGGGCTTCTTTCTTCCAACACCATCTCTCTATTTAGATAATTAGAAAACTCAGACTGCCCAGAAAATACTATATATTTTGCAAAGTTCTTTCTCTAGAGTTGCTGCTTATAGGATAGAGTAGTGGAGGCGCTCTGGCCTCCCTCAACCTAATATTTACCTAACTCTGCCATGACAACACTCTGCTAAGCACTGTGTAAAATGTGGACATCAACATAACAAGATACTGATCTTATTATAAAAGTTTTGAAATTTATTCAAGTTTAAAATGAAGAATACAATAGAAGCAATAAAAATTTACTATTGAGGGTGGTGCCTGTGGCTCAAAAGGGTAGGGCACCAGCCCCATATGCCAGAGGTGGTGGGTTCAAACCCAGCCCTGGCTAGAAACTGCAAAAAAAAAAAAAAAAAATTTACTATTGAGAGTGAAATTTTGTTACATTTGTTCATAAGTGTTTAGAATTTCTAAGAAAGTGGAGAAATCTGAAAATAGTTAGAGGATGTATAGTGAAAGAAAGAAGATAACTTGGACTGGGAAATCATTTAGATTTGGAAGGAGAGAAGGAAGAAATGAGTGTTCCAAGTAAGAAAAACGTAAGTATAGATGGTGGGACCAGTGTAACTAGAATAGAGAATATATAGAGATATATTACCTTCTTCAAACTTCTATAGATAGCTAATAAGAGGGAAAAAGTAAGTTTTCTGTAGCTTATAATTTTTTCCCAATTCCTAAAAGAGACAGGAACTATAGAGGGGAAAGGAAGATTTTGGTAGCAAAAGCTTGCTTTATTCTGAGGCTTTGAGGAGATATTCTTTATGGCCATTTATCTCCCAAGGTGGTGTGGGCTGATTCTATTTTATATTTCCAGGAGGAGCTTGCCATCCAACAGGGTCAACTGGAGACAATCCTGAAGGAGCTTCAGGCCCTGAGGAACATGCAGAAAGATGCTATTGCTGCTTTCAAGGTGAGAAGCAGGGTACAGGGGTTATGAGATAGAACTGGAATATACCCTTCAGCTATGGGGGTGCAAAGGTGCCTCATATACATATATTATCAACAAGTTAAATGGCACCTGGACCATAGAATTAGAAAACTGAGACTGTAGGGTTGAAAGAAATATGGTGGTAGGGTAGTTGCTCAATACAGCAGATAGAGTGACCTTTCCTCTAATATATTGATCCTTTTTACAGTTCAATCACTAGATGATTGTTATGGGTTGAAATGTGTCTGTTCCTTCCCTTTATCTATGGCAAAGTAAGGAATTTACCAGAAAATCTACTAAAGACTGCTATGGCCAAAGAAATGCCTAGGCATCTCCAGACCAAGGTGTCTCATGTTGCTGGCTTTCCCCATCAAATTTGATCGTTCTTGGCTGACCTCAAACTAAATAAAGCTATTGCCTACACTTTTCAAATTCATAGGAATTCTAGAACAACATTAGTGGTCAGATATTTGGTGAATCAGTCCCTAGGTTGGGGAAGCTAAATTGGGAGTTCTGGTTATTTCATGGAGGAGAGCCTTCTTTGGCATTTGGCATCTGGAAGAAGAAATATGTAGACTCAGGACAAGAAGAAGGTCAGATGGAAGTAATAATGCTTTCAGATAATCTTGTTTCTGTTATAAGAGTTCCTAGTTCAGCCGTTAGAGTCAATAGAATCTTGACTATTAGAGTCAACATTCATTCATTCAATAAATGAATGTGTTTTTAAGTGGGTCAGGCATCATATTACTAGATTCTGGGTGGGAAACAGATTTTTTTTTTTTTTTTGAGACGGAGCCTCAAGCTATCCCCCTGGGTAGAGTGCTATGGCATCACAGCTCACAGCAACCTCCAACTCCTGGGCTCAAGCGAGTCTCTTGCCTCAGCCTCCCAAGTAGCTGGGACCACAGGCACCTGCCACAACGCCTGGCCATTTTTTGGTTGCAGCCATCATTGTTGTTTGGCGGGCCCGGGCTGGGGATTCGAACCCGCCACCTTAGGTGTATGTGGCTGGCGCCTTAGCCCCTTGAGCCACAGGCGCCGAGACGGAAACAGATGTTAATTAAACAATCTCACCAACAACAATAAATCACAAATAATGGAATTATTTGAAATAAATAAATGTATAGGGTATTATGAGAGCATATAAATGGAAAATATAATCTAGCCTAGGGGAATGGAGTCACTTACTGAAAATTGAGAATTAAAGGATAAATAGCTTAGCCAAGCAAATCTATTGCAGTAGTCCCAGAGAATAATGACAGTGTCTTAGTCTAGTGAGGCAATAGACATACAGAGAAATATTATAAATTGTTTGAGTATATGCTTTGAAAGTAAAAATTTGAAGTTGATTGAGGCTATAGATAAGAAGTCAGCATTAAATGGTATTTAAAACCATAGGAGGAGAGGATGTTACCTAGAAAAAAAGTGTAAAATTAGACGGGGAAAACTCAGACAAAATATTAGACAATTCTAAGACTTAGAGCTTGGTTAGAGAAAATAGAATCAACAACTAAGACTGAGAAAAAGTGATGAGAAAGGTAAAAGGTAAATTGAAAAAGTGTGATCTAGAGGGTTAAGACTATTCCAATATTGCAGTAATAGGCCCTACTATTAATCCTAGCACTCTGGGAGACTGAGGCAGGAGGATCACTTCAGCTCAGAAGTTCAAGACCAGCCTGAGCAAGAGCAAGACCCTGTCTTTCTTAAAAATAGAAAAATTAGTGTTGGCACCTGTAGCTCAGTGAGTAGGGTGCCAGCCACATACACCAAGGCTGGCGGGTTCAAGCCCAGCCTGGGCCTGCTAAATAACAATGACAACTGCAACCAAAAAATAGCCAGACATTGTGGTGAGCACCTATAGTCCCAGCTACTTGGGAGGCTGAGGCAAGAGAATTGCTTAAGCCCAAGAGTTTGAGGTTGCTGTGAGCTATGATGCCATGGCACTTTACCAAATGTGACATAGTGAGACTCTGTGTCAGAAAAAAAAATAGAAAAATTAGCTGAGCATGTTGGCACAAACCTGTAGTTCCAGCTACTCGGGAGGCTGAGACAGGAGGATCACTTGAGCTCAGTTTGAGTTTGAGGTTGCAGTGAGTTATAATCACGCCATTGCATTTTACCTAGGGCAACAGTGAGACTCCACCTCAGGAAAAAAAAAAAACCCTAGTGCATAATAATTATGGACCATAAAACCTAAGCTAGATGAGGTAGACATGAAGATAGAAGTTCATAAACATAACAGAAATGAAGGGGTCAATGAATAGGAGGGTTCAGTGAGATCCAATAATTGTAGTAGGGGTGTATGAGTAAGTTCAGAGCATAAGAAGTTATTCTGGAGATGATGCACTTGCTGTGGACTATAAAATCCTAGGTGTGACTATAGAAATTAGTAGATAAAGATAGAAATCACTAGAAATGAGGAGGATGAGGAACTGAGAAGCCAGGATGTCAAATGGCAGAACCATCAGGATGCTTAGATCATTCAAAAAAAGAGCTGCAAGTGTGTTACTGGTCTCGGTGCTGATACTGCTATCTCTTGCTGCTTCTGCATTGTCCTGGCAACAGGAATGACATCTCCCCCTCCAGTTCTCATTTTAAGATAAGGACAGTTCTTCCAGCCTCCCAATGGCCCCAGTCTAACAGTACCATTTGGTAGATAATGGAGGGTATTATTATTCATTTTAGAATGTTTTATTACCTCCACAGTCTTACTTATTTGGCACTGGTTACCACCTCAGCACTGCAATAGGAACTTAGAGACCACTTTTGACTATTTCATTCTGAACCCTGAACAATTAAACTAGTTGGGAAAAAGGGAATAGGTTTACTAAAGGGCTTATTTTAATGTGGTTGAAAGTTGATATTCAGCAGCCATTTGTATGCATTTTTCTGTGATGATACATGTATTTCCTACATGAGTAAGTGTTGGTGGTGTGGCCCACATCCCCAAGTACTCATCTTGGTAATAACTGTGGTGATAATCATGGAGGTTTCCAGGAAAACAAGCTACATCTGCAGCAGCATATATCCTTGGAGTTTCTAAAGCTGCATCAGTTCCTGCACAACAGAGAAAAGGACATTTTAAATGAGCTCCGGGAAGAGGGGAAAGCCTCGAATGAAGAGATGGAGCTGAATATGAACCAGCTTCAGGAGCATTGTCTCCTAGCCAAGGACATGTTGGTGAACATTCAGACACGGCTGGAACAGCAGAACTCCTTCGACTTTCTCAAAGTGAGACTCCATACCAATGATTATGGGTACACTTAGAGAGGGGAAGAGGTCTGGAAAGGATATAGAAATGGCTGTTCACTGCCAGAGGAGAAAACAAAGCAAAACCGCTGTGGTGCTTTTAAGATTCTCTGAGAGAAAAGCAAGAGGCTACGTTAGCTTTATGCTCAGCAGAAAGCCTTACTTTAATCCTCAAAGAAAATAAGATAACAAAATCTCACTAAAAACAGTAAGCATTAGTATTTTAATATTTTTCCATAAATAAGTTTGAAGGTTTAGTTCTTAAAAATAAAAATGCTGTAGCTGGACTTGTATCTTTGACCAGCTTGCAGCAATCCTAAGTTGACCTGTGTGAAAAGCTGTTTGCCAATCTTTGCTATCTTTCAGAAGCTTAATTAGCTAGAGTAAGGAAAAGTGGCCTTAAGAATGGAATATCCACTATGTTTTTCTTCTGAAACTATTTGAAAGGTAAAAATAGCTTAACCTTAATTATTGTCTTATCAGCCTCTCTCTTGTCCCCTGTAGAAACGAACTACAGAAAATCAGAGAAAGGTAGGGACAGTTTATCCCAGGTTAGATCAGTGATACAAATTAGAAAAGGCATATTAAGGATGAAAGAGATTGGTAGAGATGGTTTGGGGACTATGTGCACAGGCTTCTGACATTTCTTATTTTTCCTTTCCTCTCTAGGACATCACAAGTTTCTTGGATAGGTAAGTGTTCCCCTATGGTACTCTCATTTTTTACTTTTTTGGCAGAGTCTCACTGTCACCCTGGGTAAAGTGCTCTGGTGTCTGGCGTTGTGATAGCTTACAGCAACCTCAAACTCTTGGGCTCAAGTGATCCTCTTGTCTCAGCCTCCCAAATAGCTGGGATTACAGGCACCTGTCTCTACATACACCCTGCTAGTTTTTCTATTTTTAGTAGAGATGGGATCTTGCTCTTGCTTAGGCTGGTCTTGAACCTGAACTCAGGCAATCTGCCCGCCTCAGCCTCCCAGGGTGCTAGGATTATAGGTATGAGCTACCACACCTAGCCTTCCCTATGGTACTCTTAATACCCTTCCTTTAGTACCTGGTGGAGGACTAAGGATAAATGATTTATATCCCCCGCAGCTTGGAGCAAGGAATGAGGGTATTGATACCCAGAGAGCTTATCTCCAGAAATCTGAACCTGGGCCAGTTCAAAGGTCCCATCCAGTACATGATATGGAGGGAAATGCAGTCCACTCTCTCTCCAGGTATCAGTATCAGTGGGTAATAACTATTGGTTCCTGGGGTGCTTATTTCATCTGTGGGAACTCTTCTGTGGCCCTAATTAGTTCTTTAGAGTTTAAGAAATGGGAATGGGTAGAGTGTAGCTAAAAGGAGGCTAGTTGGTATATCTGAATTTCTTTTGGTGCCATGACCTAAGGATTTATAACTTTGTACTCATAAATAGGTAAGAATTTTTAAATGTTTTTAATTATTATTGTTTTTATTAAGACAGAGTCTCACTTTGTTACCCTCTGTAGAGTGCTTGGTGTCATAGCCCACGGCAACCCCAAACTCTTGGGCTCAAGTGATTCTCTTGCCTCAGCCTCCCTAGTAGCTGGGACAATAGGCATCTGCCACAGCGCCTGGCTATTTTTGTTGTTGTTTATGTTGTTGTTGTTTGTTTAGCAGGCCTGGGCTGGGTTTGAACCCACCAGCCCTGGTGCCTGTGGCCAGCGCCCTAACCACTATAGGTGCCCAGCCGGTAAGAGTTTTTTATAACAGAATTATTACTCAACCTATGATTTTGTTTGACTGTTCTATCAAATGTGGCAGTAACCAAAATTTTACCCTGTTTTGGTAAATCAGCTATATAAATCTATAGGGCTCCTCTGCCCTATGAAAGGAGGTTTCTGTACATATTCTTTGTATGTACGGGGGTCTTTATAGGCCTTCTTGTGCTTGATGCTCATAGCATAGAGTAGGATATATTAGGAGGTTGCTTAGATCTTCAGTGCTTCAGAAGAAAACCAATAATTTTAATAAAATACCTAGTAAGAACATTAAGTTTTTATGTTCCTGAAAACACCAAAGAATTGAGCAGGACAAAACAACACAAATGGCACTTCAAGAACATTAAATACAGTTTTAAATAAAAATCTTTATAGAAATAAAATTTTATATAAGGTTTTTATAGAATTCATATGGATTCATCATTATTCTTATTGTTTGTAGTTACTAATTTAATAAAAGTCACAAATCTATCCCTGTTAACAATTTTTCTAGGTAACTAGCATTGGAAAAAAAATCAACTTTACTGAGGTATAACTTAGATACAGTAAAATTCCCCAATTTTGAGTGCACAATTTGATGAGTTTTGACAAATATATACTCTTATGTAAACACATTCATAAATAAGATACAGAAAATTTCTATCACTACCCAAAATTCCCATAGGCTGTGGGCAGTTAAATCCTTTCCTCCCATTCTCAGCTCTTGACACTCACTTATCTGCTTTCTTTCACTTTATTTTTTTATGTTTTGAGGCAGAGCCTCACTTTGTTGCCCTCAGTAGAGTGCTGTGGCATCACAGCTCCCAACAACATCAAATCTTGGGCTGAAGCAATCATTCTTGCCTCCAGCCTCCCTGGTAGCTGGGACTACAGGTGCCCACGACAACTCTCGACTATTTTTAGAAAACAGGTCTCACTCTTGCTCAGGCTGGTCTCAAACTCAAGATCTTAAGTGATCCACTGCCTCGGCCTCTCAGAGTGCTAGGATTACAGGTGTGAG